CCTCCTCTTCAACAGTTGCTAAGAAACCTTCTTCTTTGTTTCTACATTTATTTACTCTTTGAGCTTTCTCCTACTTCAACACTATCTCAACATACATGTTTTTCCAGAAACTACAACTTTGCTCCTCAGAAATAGAACTCATTAACTTCTGTCCCTCTTTCCTTCAGAATTTCCATTCAGCAGAAACTTTTAATTGCTAAAATCTTTGAGAAAATGGTATTCATTTCCTTTAAGTTTCCTAACTCTTAAGCACGCTTGTGACCCTTAGCTGATGTCCGTCCCCCCCACCACCCCAGTAAACCAAAACATTAAAAAAGGCATCGGATGTGAAACACTATTAGTAAAGTCATTAGCTTCCATATTTTCATTTTGATATCAACACAAATAAATATTCACATTTATTTTAAACTCCTTGGGTAAAATTAAGGTTTACAACGGGTTCACTATGAGGCTTCTGAGTTGACAAAGGCATCAATATTTGTTGAGTATTTCATATTGTGGACTCATATATTATTTCATTTCATGCTAACAAGAAGCCTATGGTATATGTATTGTTTATGCCATTTCATCCCTTATAAAACTGAGACTTGGAGCGCATAGTGAAGAACGGCTGAAACTTAATTGTAATTAGAAACTGGCATGCTTGCCCTTTGTATAACTACTTAATGATACAAAAATACAATTAAGAATAATATGGTGATAAACAATTTAAAAACATTCAGTTCTATAACTGGCTTTCAGATTTTCTAGGTCCTAGTATTGGTTTTATTGGTTAGACCACAATTATTTGCCTTTCCTGTATTTTTTTTTTTTTTGCCAGTCTTGGGGCTCAAACTCAAGGCCTGGACACTGTCCCTGAGCTTCTTTTGCTCAAGGTTAGTAATCTACCATTTGAGCCACAGAGCCACTTCTGGCTTTTTCTCTTTATGTGGTACTGAGGAATTGAACTCAGAGTTTCATGCATTCTAGACAAGCACTCTACCACTAGACCACATTCCCAGTCTGACCTGTAGCTTTTTAAAGCGTGTTTTAACTATCTATAACTTGGGAAATTTGAAATATTACATCAGACTGTTTTGACCACTTGTCAAGATTTGTGTCTCTCAAGTTCTGCTGAGAAATAACGCAACTGCAATTACAGGCATCTCATATTTTGTAAGCAGCTTGAGTTCCAAGAGTTCTCTAGCTTGTTGTTTGGAACCAGAGTATTTGTTGTTGGTTTTTTCCTGTGTTTTTTTGTTTGTTTTTCCCCATTGATCTGATCTAAGAAAGGATGGTTATCTGGTAATCTGGCATTTTCTTGTTATCTTCAACTTTCTGCCCTCAACCTCCAAAACAACAACAATAACAACAACGGGAAGAAAGGGAAGGGCAGAATACTAATATCAATTTTTCTGGCTTGAATCCTAGAACATACTGAGAAAGAGGATTTGTAATTTAATAAGGAATAATAAGTGAAAGTTGACTTTATACCACAAAACTCTGCCATCACCTAAGTGACAACTCTTATCTGGTCCCTAAAGCTTTTTTATTTCCATTTTAGAATCTTCTTTAGAATTTTCTTTTTCTATAGTTCTATGCTGGTTGATTTGCTCATAGTGACATATTAATAAAGGAAATAAATTGGAAAGGGAGAACTTTCACATTATTTATTCGGGTCTTAAGGTGCAAACTGGCTGAATGCAACTCAGCTCATATCTTCTGAAATCAGCAGAAAATCAAAGAATATTAGTACCTCAAATGTTATTAACTAACTTCAGAATTCTTTAGTACTGATATTTTAACCTAATTTGAATTTGTACCAAATAATTTCAGTAATAAAAGCATCTTATACAGTGTGCTACAAATTTTATATTAAACTTTGTTTTCTTTTTGTTTTGTTTGCTAGAGATTTGATTTAGGGCCTTGCATAAGCAAGGGAAGAGCTTAGCCACAGGGCTACATTCTCAGATCTTTTGAATCTATTTAGTTCTCAAATATTTGAATTTACTTTAACTAATACACAAACCAAACATGGTCCATATTATAGTATGTCCATAATCGTGTGATATATAAACATATACATACATACACACATACATATATACATACATACATACATCCTGGGGCTTGAACTCAGGGCCTGCACACTCTCCCTGAGCTTCTTTTGCTCAAGGCTAGCTCTCTACCACTTGAGCCACTGTGCCATTCTGGCTTTTTCTGTTTATGTGGGACTGAGGAAGTAAACCCGGGGTTTCATGCTAGTTAGCCAAGCACACTACCACTAGGCCACATTCCTAGCCTCACCATGTGGTATTTTGATACATCTATACTATGTATAATGTTTAAATCAAATTTAGCATAACTCTTTAAACACCAGTTCTTTATCATGAAAACTCTTACATTCCTTACTTGTAACTTTTAGACAAGTACATTGCATTACTGCTATCTGTAGTCATCTGCTGTGCAATATCATAGCAGAACTTCCTATCTAGCTGCAACTTATCATCTACTGATCAACACTCTCTGCTTCCCAAAATGTGTTATATTTTAAGTGATTTCACATTTTTTCAATGTTCATCTTCATGATAAACCTTGAAATTATGGACAGGATTTTTCATAATACCAATTTTATGGGTGGAAGTATAGGATTTGAGATATTAGGGTTGGCTTAGTTATCACAGGCTAAAAACCAGTTATCTTCTTACCCTCCCATATCCCAATTCAAGGGCAATTTCTCCGATTTTTTTTATCCCTTTATCAATTTCATTCATCCCTCTAGCTTCTAATTCCATTAAAAGATTTAGAATACTAATGAAAAATTAGTGTTGTACTGCTTTATCTTTAGCACCTAGGACATTCTCTGACACCTACTAGGTAACAAATATCAAACGAGTAAAAGTTAGCTATTATTGTCCTATTTGATCAATAGGGCTAAATATTTCTATTGGCTAAAAAATAAGTTTTCAAATTGTCTCATATCTGTAAAAGAAAAATAAACTATGGCTATCAGCACAAACTCAATTTCTATAGCAAATGTTGTTATATTCAACTAAAGCTTTCTGTCTGCTGTCTTCACTGCTGATTTTAACAACCAGGAGAGTAGTGGAAGTGGAAGAAAATCACACACACATACACCCATGCATCCACACACACATACACCTATGCACCCATATACAACATACACCTATGCACTCATACACAACATACACCCATGCACCCACACACAAATACTGTTGGCTTCTCATTAAACCTTCCTACGCTTCCTGCCATTCCCAAAACCTAAGACTTGATTTATATGGCACACGATATCCAAAACTTACAGCCAGTCAATAATTTCCAAACTTAATGCCTATAGCTCAGTGGATATTTCCAAGAATCACCTTCTGTAATAAACTTGAGTTAAATATTTAACTAGCTTTTAAATTATCTGACAGCTGATCATTGTATTTTCTTTACCCTCTATATATGCACACACATACACTGCATATGTTTATATAGTTTATATTTAAAAAAAACATAGGTGACATAGCCTAAAATCATCTCTACTAGAGATAGAATAATAAAACTTTATGTTTTCCATTTATCTAAGTTTGTAGGTAGGAACTATAAAGGCAAAAACCAAGCTGACAGTCACTGCAAGTGGTCAGGAAAGGGCATTCTTCCAGAGTTGCAATGGAGAAAAAATCAAATAAAGGGGGAGAAAGAGATGGAGGATGAGAGAAACAACCAAGCAGGTGAAGGGGGGAGATGAGCTTCTCCAACAGCTGTGCTTTATTTCCTTTATGACTATGGGTCTTAACTTGGCATAGTTTCATGCTATAAATAACTAATCTTCGTCAAGAAGCTATATACGCTATGTGAATTATATCACATGCATATCGATTAAATAAATCCTCACCAACACTCACTGAAGCAACCACTATTATCTTGAAGGCAAGACTTAGTACTTCTCGGGAACATACAAACAGAAATCAGCCTAACAAGCCTCGAAGAGCATTCTTCGGAATTTAGGCCCTTGGCTCTGTACTGTGGACCATAGACTAGCGGAAATACATGAATCAACTTCCTCGTTTGTGTCTTGGTTACTACCTTGCTCTCCTGAATCCTATTAACCAAATTATTTGGAGTCAGTGCTAGTGAGAATGAGAATGGAAAGTGTGCCTTCCCAAACGCAGAAGGGAAGCAAGCCTGGCAGGAGTAGAAGGCGCATCCCTGTGCGGCTGTCCTGTGTCTTGTTCTTATGAAACTAGTTTTAAAGAAGAGTTAGTAGTACATGAATTGTGTCCCATCCTCCATCTCACTCCTGACTTCATATGCACTCCACTGTGGAAGAAAGTCAAGGAAGGTAAGGTGGTGGTTGTTGGTTGTTTTTTTTTTTTTTTTATAGAAGAATCTAGAAAGTAGGTTCATACAGTCACATGAGATGTGAGCACCCGTCAGCCACCCCTTCCAATCCCCAAATCATCTTACAGTCATAGTAAAAAAGAGGAAAGAGAATTACCTGCTTCTATTGAGGCTGATGCCTGAAAGTCATGTCTAACCTTTGAAGAACTGTAATGGTTTTAATCAGAAGAATAACATCTTTTGGATAAGCAGGATAGAGAAAAGAGCTGAGAACCAGTCTGCAAATATGAAGCAGGCTATTTTGGAGCAATGGCTATGGCCTTTGACATCTTTCATCATGATTCTATACTTAGAACTCAGATGAGCCTGGGGGGAGGGGAACAGGGCAATGTTAATCCCCAGTTGTTTTGAAGTTGTCCTGTAAACAGGTTAGCTCTAAACTGTCCAAAATGGAAGCGTTAAATTACACGATTCTCTCCAGGTATTTTGTTTTAACCTGTCCTTCGTAGAGACTGTCACCTCACTCTGGGAGGTGACAGCTCTCAGTTCTCTTTCAAGCTCGGTGTTCTAGAGAGCCCTGGTTGTAATCGGGTTGGGAGACTGATGCTCATGACAGCTAAAAGTTGGATTGAGTTTCAGGAGCTACTATATATAAAGCCGGGTCGACTTATGTCACCGCACTAATTAAATGCCATCTGGGTGGTTCCTCTGGGTCCGTGCGTCCATCACCCTGTTCAGATCGAGCCAGAGGCCAAGGAGAAGAACATGATGATGGACCTTTTTGAAACGGGTTCCTATTTCTTCTATTTAGATGGAGAAAACATTACTCTGCAGCCCTTAGAAGTGGCAGAGGGCTCTCCTCTGTACCCAGGGAGTGAGGGTACCCTATCCCCCTGCCAGGACCAATTGCCCCCTGAAGCCGGGAGCGACAGCAGCGGAGAGGAACACGTACTGGCACCCCCAGGCCTGCAGACTCCCCACTGCCCCGGCCAGTGTCTGATCTGGGCTTGTAAGACCTGCAAGAGAAAATCTGCCCCCACTGACAGGCGGAAAGCTGCCACTCTGCGCGAGAGGAGGCGGTTAAAGAAAATTAACGAGGCCTTCGAGGCACTGAAGCGGAGGACTGTGCCCAACCCCAACCAGAGGCTGCCCAAGGTGGAGATTCTGAGGAGCGCCATCAACTACATTGAGAGGCTGCAGGACTTGCTGCAGCGGCTGGATCAGCAGGAGAAAATGCAGGAGCTAGGGGTGGACCCCTTCAGCTACAGACCCAAGCAAGAAATTGTAAGCCCAGATGGCCTCCGAGCCAGGGAAATGCAGAGGCAGAGAGATTAGACGCGGCCTTCGCCGCCAGCTGCGGGGTCTCTTCCCATTCCCCCCCCCTCCCCTCCATTTCTCACCCGCCCCTTGGGGCTCCCTCGTTCCTGAACCCCCAGTGACCCAAGAAAAACTTAAGTCCCTGCCATAGGCAGGAAATACGTACCAGGCCCAAGGAAGTAGGGGAGCCACTCCTAGGAACCCCCTGCCCACCCCTTCTCCCGGGCAATTTGTTTCTTTCCTAATCTGTTGGATTCCGTCCCCCCACCCCCTCCACTCCAGCTTGAGGGTGCGGATTTCCTGCGCACCTGCAGCTCCCAGTGGCCAAGTGTTTCGGATCATTCCAGGGGGCTCCTGATCACAGCAAAGGAAGGTAAATGAACACAAAGGGCCCCCAGGCTACCCAGGTAGAGCATCCCGGGAGGGTGGGGCGCAGAGGAGCTCGCGGGAGCTCTTCGCAGGAAGGGCGCCTTTAGAACCCAAGGCCCTGCTCGCTGTCCCCTTGTTCTCTTGAGAGCTACGGGTTTCTTATGTATTTGGACTCCTCTCTGTCTCTGTCTCTCGTCTCACTCTGTCTGTCTGTCTGTCTGTCTCTCTCTCTCTCCTGTGCTCAGGCGCAGCGAGCCTCGATGCGTCGGCCTCCAGCAGCCTTCGGTGCCTCTCTTCCATCGTGGACAGCATTTCTTCCGAGGAACACAAGCTGCCCAGCGCCGAGGAGGTGGTAGAAAAGTAACTCCACGCACCAGGAAGACTCCCTCCCCGCCCCCACCCCCCACCTCTTCTCGACCTAATTATTTCGATTAGGTCATATTGTATTCAAATTTAGGAAACCCAGACCCTGGAGCTTTTGAAAGAGGAAGCAGAATTCACAAAGAAACTGTTGTGCAAACTCCAATGAACAAGGCCTTCGGGCTTCCGAGCTTTTTTATTATTATTTCTTTTTAGAACTGAGTGCTGTAGGAAGAGCAGCCAGATTTTGTCTGTTTTGGTTTTGTAATTTATTACGCAGATCCTTTTGTGCCCTATGCAAAAGAAGTCCATTCCTGTCTGAAGCCAAGTGAGAACGTTTCATTTTAGTAGTATTTAATATATTTTTGTAAATAGTCTTAGGACTTTTATTTTTTATGTAAAACCTAAGGAATATATTTTAAATGTGGGATGATGGATTGTATATAAAATGCGTGAGGAACCTGGCTTTGTAATATGAAGAATGAGTTTCTATATAGATGAACTTGGCTTTAATTTGACTCAACTAGAAAAAAATGTTTTGAGGACATGTACAAAAAAATAAAGAAAAGCCGTATTTTAATTTAAGCACCATCTAAGCCCATATTGGGGTGTTTTCTTTCAGGTTGATTTAAAGCGGGAAAATAGTTACTTTCTTTTGGCTCAAATTGAGCACTTTAATATTTCATAGAGATCGCACATTTGTGATTGAAAGGGAAGAGTATCTAGGAATAATCTGACTTTTCTTCAGTCAAGATTTCTTTCTTCCTCCTACTGTTCTAGACTTGGTGATCTGGGTGAGATTTCCTTCCCCCAGGCTTACCATTGAATTTCCAATACACTAAATCCTTGCTGCAGAAAAAGCAAAACAAAAAGTTGCTTTTTCTTAACCCCTAAAAGATATTCAACTAATTTAACTCTTAGTTGGTATTCCAGGCAGTTACCAGCATGAATCTGGAGTGCCCAGACTTTTTACTGGTCATCTCAGTTTTGTTGAACTAGACTGATTTCTAGCCCACTGGACTATGCTCAAGGCCTCTTTGGCTTGTGCATGTTTTTCAAATACAAAGATAAAAGAAGGCTCAATCCGTCTCTTGAAGTGGGTTTGTTTGAAGGGAAGGTTGCTTCAAGAGATCGAAGGGTTAAATGGTTGAGAGGAAAAAGCAACAACAACACACATGAAACCTCTTAGCTGGGCCAAACAGCAAAGCCCTAGAGAGGCTGAAAGCCCCAGGAGTGCCTCATCATGAGGGTTTTACAACGTGTGCCAGGTTTGTTTATCCTGTAACCTCAGGAAGAAGCGACCACCAAGAATCACAGTTGGAAGTGAAGAAGAGGAGAGAAGTGATTCATTCCTGTTGAATTGTTACTTCTCTTAGTTCTGTAAACGGTACTATCACTCCTTCCCTAAACCTCTTCTCTCCTCCTTTGCTCCCACAGCTAGTCTTTACCTTGCATATGTAAAAGTCAACCCCAATTCAGTATTTCTCAGTTCAGCTTTGTTTCCTAACTCCCCAAGGACTGTTTATGAGAGCGCCACGGACAGCGCCCTCTACAGGCACGAAGCTATGCCTGCTATAGCTTGTTCTTGGAACTGGAAATGGTTTTTGGTTTGGGTTTTGGTAGGTCGTGGGGCCTGAACTCTGGGCCTGGGCACTGTCCCTCAGCTCTTCAGCTCAAGGCGAGCACTCTACTGCTTGAGCTACAACACCACTCCTGGCTTTTTCTGCTTATGTGGTGCTGAGGAATTGAACCCAGGGCCTCATGCATGCAAGGCAAGCACTCTACCACTGAGCCACCTTCCCAGCCCAGAACTAGAAATGTTTTAGATTTGAAAGGTTTTCGATTTGGGAGGTTGCTATAATTTTGAAGCTTTTGCATAGAATTTATGGTTGACTAACCCTAATCCAAACAAAAGACAAGACAACCTCCCAGATGGAAAATACTCCAGAATATAGAACATAGGAAATTGAAAAGTTTGGATTTTGGAACATTTCTGAATTGGGGACTTGGGATTTAGTATACTCAATCATTTTTGTTGGTGTTGTTTATATTTGTTGGGTTTTTTATTTTTAGCTATGAATAGTTCAAGTTTCTGAAATACCTTTTGAATGCAGAAAACTTCCTAGAGAAAACTAATGTTGGCATAAAATCCCTTTTAAAGAGTTGAGAGGAGCAGCTGGGCGTTCAGTGGAGGCACCTGCCGAGCCTGTGTGTGTCTGTGGGGCCTGTTACCTAGGTGGAATCCAGGATGCTACTGTGAGACTCTGAGCTAGTCCCGCTCCTTCTCAGTTTCTTCATTTATAAAATGATGGGTGGGGGGACTTCTGATGGGTACCTGACTTCTGGGGTTCTGAACCTCCTCCAAAAACAACCCCCAAAAAAACAAAAAACACATATGAACTGCTAAGCTAAAATAGGGCATGAAGTAAATATCAGTTCTCAGTTCTCTTTATTTGTTATTAGTAAACTGAAGACCATAGTTCCTTTAGACTTTTCTGGCTCTGGCTGAGGGAGGCATTTATTACAATGCTCGACAACATGAATGAGCCATTCTTAGCAACTTCTGCGCTCATGTTATCCTGGGATATCCAGTGGGAGAGGTGCTACTGTTCCTTCTATGTCAGAGAAGAGGCCCTCTTGCAATAGATGGCTTCTGCCATCTGCTGAATTACAAAGCCAAGATTGAGAGCCAACCATTATCAATGACTACAGACTTTTGTCCTCAAGCACCATGAACTCTGGAAAGAAAAGCTTTGGGAAAATTAACCAGCAACATTTTATATAGCCTTCAGAATGACATGTTTCTCTTTGACAAGTTTTGTTTTATAAGCTTCTTCTCAATAGTAGATAGCTAGTGAACTCCAAATTGGAGCAGTAATTGCATTTTAAAAATATGATAAAAATCATTTACCAATGAAATTACACAATTTAGTATGTGTGAGGGGGTGTATATTTCTATCAATGATATATTTTATATACATCTATATTTTAAAAAGCAACTTTGGTCTGGGAAGGTGGCTCAGTGGTAGAGTGCTTGCCTTGCATGCATGAGCCCTGGGTTTGGTTCCTCAGCAACACATAAACAGAAAAAGCCAGAAGTGGTGCTGTGGCTCAAGTGGTAGAGCGCTAGCCTTCAGCTGAAAAGCTGAAGGACAACGTCCAGGCCCAGAGTTCAAGCCCCACAACCAACAAAGAAAATAAACAAATAAAATAAAAAACAACTTCATGACATGACTGAAATAAACTATGCCAGGTGAGCAGATGAGGTCTTTGATTTCATAATTGTACATATACTCTTAGTAATTGTACATATATTCTCATTTGTGTTAAAAACTACTCAGAAACAGAGAACACCTACATCAATTTGTGGATTTTACTTGCTGATGGATTTTATTCTGTCTTTGCAGACCAAATCCTATCTTTCTTAGCTAGGTAATTTGAGACATTGTTTGGAAAAAGTTTGCCTATAGAAGTCTCTTCATTAAATAGTGCACATATTTCCCAAAGGCTTCATGTGACCTCCAACACTGTAACTGACACGTTAGGCTTTCCAAAGAAATCCTTGGTGTGTTTGCAATTAAGATGTTTCTGTTTGATATTTACGATGATATTCTTTACCAAGGCCAAAGTCCAAACAAACAGAGGTCTGGAAGCAGAAAATCAGTAATAAGTTGGTGAAGATAAGCAATTTAAGATTGCATCTGAGCCTCTTTCCAGAGATCTCATAAAAGTTCCCATGTATAAAATAATGAATGGTTTGGTTATATTATTATAGAAATAATTCTTTGTACATCAAAGGCCAGCTTTGTTAAAATAACTTAAATCACCATACTCAAATTACTGAAGTCTCTGTATGGACACTGGAAATCTACTTATGTCAAATGATCTTCCAAACGATCATAGATTTTTGTCTGCAATAACACTTATCAAAATGAACTCCAAGAAATGGAAACAAGAGGGTTTTTATTTTTACTTTTTGTGGTTCTTTTTTCCCCCGTCTTCCCCCTTTGTCACTGTTTTTGATTTCTGTATCTTTTGTCTTGTATGTAAGTTTATCTGATTTGAGAAGGGGAATGGGAAAACACAGAAACGGTAGAACAAAGGGTGAACTAATTCATTAGCAGTGATACTCATTAGACACTATGTTGAAAATGAACTATACAACTTGAGAGGTGGAGAGGGGTCAGGAGGGAAAAAAAAAACTAGGCGGAAAATGTAGGAAGGGGGTTGTTCAAAAAGAAATGTATGCAATTCCTGACTTAGATCATTGGAACCCCTCTGTACATCACCCTTAAATTTTTTTAAAAAAGAACACAAAATGCAGAAATTCAGTATTCTCAACTACTTGAGACTGACAAAATTCAGGACATTAAAGGCAACCTTTATCCTCATTAGGATCGTCTTCACTTAAGTGAAGAATTTACCACTTGTACATTTTTCTGTTAGTCATATTTTATTCCTTTTTATTCCATTTTGAAACACCACCTCTACCTCATCATTCCTAAATTTGTTTTTAATGTTGTACATTACACTTTGATGATCTCATTGCCCAATTTATTGCAGTAGCAAATTAGCAACCGCATGGTATGTCTCCTGGACCTGTCCAGTTGTTCCTTCAAAGTCATGAAACACAGATCATTGGCCTGGGTGAATTCAGTCCACAAAGAGTATTTTATTTCTTACAAACCTATTTCAGAGTCAGGCTGAGAGAGGGAATGGCTATGCCATGTGCTGGAACAAAGATAATGCTTTAAGAACTGGCTACTTTCTCCACTCTCAATGTCCTTACTTAGTCCTTTGATCTCTCCTGGAAGTCTTCGAATTCAAGCAGAGGCCAATGTCTTCCTCAGCTGTCTTCACAAATTCTTCCAGCAGCTCTGGCAGGTACTAATGTGTTTACTTAGGTGTGCTTTGTCCCCAGAGCTAATAGTAGTTTGAAATTGTTTAGCACATTGTGAAGTCATCTATAGTAATAGCCTAAAAAGCCGTAAGAACAACTACCTTTGCCTCAGAGTTGATCAGGAATTTTTTTTTCAGGTAGGGGGAAGAAGTGAATAGGAATGGATGTCTTTTTATATATTTATTATTATTATTTTTCTCTGTAAGAGAAGCATGGAGACTTTTCCATAAGGCTTAGAAGGGTACATTCCTATGATGAGCAAATTTTTACTAGGAAAAGTAAATGAGTAGCATTTGTCTGGTGTGGTCTGTCCATCAACACTAGGTTGTTTTTTTCTTTTTTTGTCATAATGGTTAAACTAACACAAGTTCTGCTAAAAAAAAAAAAAGATGAGAGAAACAGTCATTGATGATTTAAAGGTCAGTACAGTTAAAACGTGTTTATAAGTCTGAATTGTTAGAAAATCAAACATGCATTTGTTCTTGCTCAGAATGTAAACATTCTAATTGTAAATAAACAAATAATCCTTCTACCTCATCAGAGGTTTGGTGAGTATTCCTTTACAACTCTGGGTGTGGCCGGCTTTTCCTTCTGTCATCAGTTAGCGAGGCTTTCTGAGCAGTCAGGCAGGGTGGGAGCGTTTCTAGCCCCGCCACCTACTTCAGTGTTCAATAAATGGGAGTTTTCTCTGCATATAAGAAAGTCACTTCTCTGAAGAAACAATGGAATAGCAGATGCATTTTCATTCTTCCTGTGAGAGACAAAATCCAATCTAATGTGATTCTGAGTAGAAGAGGGCACCGGTTGAAAACAAGTTCATCTTTTATAAAAGCAATTCTTTACTTTTCCCCTGCTTCCTGATTCAATTTTTCTGCTCAGTTTTACTTATTTTCTGTCTATTTATTTTCCAAATGACTCGACCAAATTCTGTATTTTTTCCCTCTCTTGCTGTCTTCTGTGAATAATGGAACCTCTCCTGAACTGAGAGACCATTGTCATCTTTGATACTCTAGTGTCCTTTCTTTTTGTATACCGCCTTCTGGTTTTGTTTAGTTTTACTTCTTTCTTCTCTTGCCCTGCCGGGTTTCAAGGCTTCATCTTGGGTTTTTGTTTTGTTTTGGTTTTGTTTTTTATTTTTTCACTTTGAGACTCTGAGATCCTATTTTCAGCACTTGAGTCCCAGCGGCCTTCAACCCAGACCCTGTGCCCCCCTCTCCTCCTGCTTTACCCCCCCCCCAACCCCCAGTTCTCATTAGTCAGACTGTGGTGTTTTTCGGCTTCTTTCGTTCCACTTGCCTGCTGAACTCTGGTCAATTTGTTTTGAGATCACCTTACCAAACGCAGGCCTAATCTCGGAGCATGACAGTTACTGACAGAGACTCCTGAGGGACAGCGTCTTCCAGGCAAAGCAGCTCAAAGATGTCCAGCCAGCTTTCTCACATTCAGGCAATGAACTAAGCCCTGGTGATGGGAGAAAACAGTCAAAATCGTCTCTGGGAATTTCATTTATAGTTTCCACTAGGCCTGAGGCAAATTACCTTGCTCTCGGATTTGATTTGCCTTCATTTTAAAAATGAGCTGACATATACTTGCTTATGGGAACAGTTATGGGCAGTGCTTAGAAAATTGGAGAGTCTCAATAATTGTTAACTAGGTTTATCCTTCACTAAGGGACTGAGGACAAAATACATCGAATGTTTTTAGAAATCAGCTAAAAGGTAAGTGGAATAATAATCATTTCCACATTGAGGATCAAATCACATTTCTATCTGCTTCAGCTGTTCTACATATGATTACAGCAGATATCAGGCAGAGGATGGTGGTGATGATGATGATGACGATGATGGTGAAGTGACAGTAGGTTGTATGAGTCTGGACCTGAGTCTGTGGGATGTGGCTAAGAGTCCCTAAGTGAGAATATTCCATAGTATTTCACAGGTTCAATGTGCTGTACATTGAAATGCTTCTACTCAGATCGAAGAAACCCCTTTCTTTAAGAATTTGACTCCTACCTCGTATAGCCCTGGGCACTATATTCTTTTCAAAAACATACACTTGTAAATAGGCCAGATGATTCAGTAGCCCATTGGTGTGAGAGAGGAAGCCTGATTTTCAAAGGAAAACTTTGTCTTAGGACAGGAGAGAAGAGACTGGGACAGAAGAGAGAAAACAGCTCCAGGCAGAGCTAGTGAACTCCTTGGTTTTCAGGGCCTTCACTTTCTAGAAATTTCACGCCCCCCCCCAAAAAAAAAGAGTTGGAATTACTCTTGCTCCAACCGATGCTAAATCAGCCAAATAGGATTGTACTAGGAAAACACTTTGGGAACAAAAACATAAAGAACAACTTGCTACCCAAATACCACCGGAGCCACAGCACTTAATGAACTGGGTGAACCTACGTGGGATGGGGAATACTCCCTTTTCCTTCAATGAGACCACCAACCCTGACCCCAAATTCCAGACCTCTTGTGTTGACCTGAAATAAAGAACTGCTTTCCTAAATACAAACACCACCTCCTTCACTGGTGATCTGAATGTGGGTTGAAGGGGAAAAGAATGAGTAAAGCTGATTTCTAGACACGAATGGCCTGGCCTTTCTCCTTGCTTACCTTTTTACCAACCAAAGTTTAAAAGTCCCTGCTGCGACTGTTTTTTCTGGGAAGCTTTTGTCACTGAACTGTGTGAAGTCACTCTGGTTGGAGGAGTTGGAAATCTTACACTGGTTGCAGGGAAGGCTGGCAGCTGTACCTCATCTGTAACGGTGCTAGTTTGCCTGTAAGCAGAAAATTAGCAACGCAAAGCCCAGCTTGACTGTTTAGTCTGTAGACATGATAGGGAAAAGCAGAAAAAGAACAAGAAAGGAGACTTGCTCCTGGAAGAGGAGTTTGAGGTCTAAAACTGGGCTTCGTCTACTGCCCCTCTTAAGATGCTTTTGGTGTGATTTCTGGCTTGCTCAGGTTCTACAGAGGGCTGGGTGTAAAGGAGAAGGTGTTGAAAGTTCAGCCACCTGGCCTTTCTGACCCTGCATCCCTTCAGCTGAGCAGAAGCATAGGAAGAATTCCCAGTAAGCCCTATCTTAGGAAAAGAACACTTCTCGTCTATCCCCAGTAATGAAGAGCCTAAGAAATGACTAACTGATTAGAAATTTGCCTCCTCCAATGTGTAATTCAAAATAGATTTCACAAAGCTCAAGCGAGGTCCATTCCAGAATTGAAAGTATCCATTTCAAGCTGTGAGAACTATTATCCAGTGCACTGAGTACAATCTCCTGAAAAGAGAGAGAGAGAAAGAGAGAGAGAGAGCGCTCTAAGAACAAGGTCATGTCCAGGATTAAAAGTGTCAGCTGAAAGTAGAGAGTTCTATCTGTTATCATTATTTCACTGCACGATCAATTGCAAAAAGCTGCCCATCCTGGGGTCCTTTTTGTTACACCCTGAGTGATCCGCTGCTATAGGTGTGTAGAATGCAAGTGAGTAGGTTGGGGAGCCTTTCCCACTCCACCAGAGATGCACTAAAACAATCAGCATCAACGGGGCGAGTAAGCAGCAAATTGTCTCTAGAGGACAGACGGAGGTTTGCCCAGCGGGGCTTGCAGTGGGATATGCTAATAGTGGCCCTGCCAGCCTCTTGGGCCAGCCTCCCTACCCCACCCCTCAAGAATATATAAAGATCCCCAACGCCAGTCTGCAGACTCAGGTCGACAGGCATCAGCCCTTGTTAATTACCAAAGAAACCCACCTCCAGCTCTGCCTGGGATTCGGCGGCCTGCACCGGCCAGAGGCTCGCCTTTCTCCTTTCTCTCTCTTACTGCCGTCCAGGTAGCGTGCTTGGCTCTCGGCAGCATGGACATGATGGATGGCTGCCAGTTCTCCCCATCTGAGTACTTTTACGATGGCTCCTGTATCCCGTCTCCCGAGGGCGAGTTTGGAGATGAGTTCGAGGCTCGTATGGCCGCCTTTGGGACCCACAAAGCAGACTTGCGGGGCTCAGATGAGGAAGAACACGTCCGAGTGCCCACCGGCCACCACCAGGCTGGTCACTGCCTCATGTGGGCCTGCAAAGCTTGCAAGAGGAAGTCCACCAGCATGGATCGGAGGAAGGCCGCCACCATGCGCGAGCGGAGACGCCTGAAGAAGGTCAACCAGGCTTTCGAGACGCTCAAGAGGTGCACCACAACCAACCCCAATCAGAGGTTACCCAAGGTGGAGATCCTCAGAAATGCCATTCGCTACATCGAGAACCTGCAGGACTTGCTGAGGGAGCAGGTGGAGAATTACTACAGCTTGCCTGAACAGAGCTGCTCGGAGCCCAACAGCCCCACTTCCAACTGCTCTGATGGCATGGTAAGCCACAGCTCTGGTACCCACTCTTGGTACCCCAATATTTTCTCCAAGTCCTTATACCATGTTGAAAGCAAGTGTAATAGAATGGAGTAGAATGCATGCAGATGGTTGGTTGCTTTAAGGGAAAAGAGGTGTTCTCATTTAGAAGGATGCCAAGAAAAGTACTGTTGAACAGGATTTAGGTTTGACTTCCTCGCAGATTCTAGTTGTACGTTATAGTAGAAGGTTGGCACATTCTGTAGGTGGCTGTAAATGATCCAATGTTATTTCCATTATTCAGTTTATTTTGCAAATACACCACTTAATGGATCCGGCCATACATTAACATCTTAAGGCAATTAGCTGAAGCTCCCCACTGCCCCATAGTTTACCAAGCCAAGAATAATTAGAAAAGAATACCAGCATGGCCCCTGTCCCTGCTCTGCTGAGATCAGGCTGAAAGGAGATGTGGATGCATTCTTTTCAGAGGGCATTTGCTTCAACGCTGCCAGGTTTTAATGTGTTTTTGCTCTGGGAAAGTGTTCTCTCCCAGAATTAGTGTGGCTTCCTTCTACTCCAATCCATTTTGCATGGTTAACCCAATGCACATTGCTGCTGAATTCCACACACACAGCCCTCCCTTCCCTTTGCCTCTGCTCTCCTCTTCTGCAAGCACAGAGCTTGACCTTGGTGCCCTGGTGATCTGGGGGTGGGAGGTGGGGGGGGAGGGCCAGCGCCTCCTAAATCAAGGCAAGGGAGGTTATTGAGAGTGACCAGTTCACCAATTTGTTGGAAGTAAACTGACCTTATCCTAGGTCAGAACCTTTTTTGCCCACACCTGAAAATGAAATTCTTTGTTTCTTGTATTATAGCCTGAATGTAACAGTCCTATCTGGTCTAGAAAGAGCAGCAGTTTTGACAGCGTCTACTGCCCTGATGTATCAAATGGTAAGAACTGACGTGAAGACCAATTTCTTCTCAGAATTCAGTCTTTTCAAAGCAGAGACTGATCTTCCCTGCAGTATAGGAAAAGGAAAGAGGGAAGGAAAGTGATTCTTTGGGGAGGCTTTGGTGAGAAAGAATGAACACACATCTTCTGTTCCCAATCTCTCTGTCTCTGTCCCTCTCTCTCTGTCTCTGTGTCTGTCTGTGTTTCTGTCTCTGCCTGTCTCTGTCTCTGTCTCTCTGTCTCTGTCACTCTGTCTCTCTCTCTGTCTCTGTCTATCTGTCTGTCTGTCTGTCTGTCTGTCTGTCTCTCTCTCTCTCTCTCACAAGACACACACACACACACACATACTTTTTCTTGAAAGATTACCAAGTCACTATCTCACTCCACACCTCTACCCTTGGGAATTGCCTGATATTTGCTTCAGATTTCTGTATTAGGCTTTTGGAGATCATCTGACCTCTGGTGTCAAAAGAGCTGACCTACCATTTAGGGGGCAACATAAGCAAATCTGTCTATCCGGGGAAAATTCTTAAACGTTGTTTTGTTTTTCTCTTTTATTGTTAGTATATGCCACAGATAAAAGCTCCTTATCCAGCCTGGATTGTTTGTCCAGCATAGTGGACCGGATCACTTGCACAGAACAACCTGGGTTGTCTCTCCAGGAACCGACATTGCTCTCCCCTGTTGCCAGCACCGATTCACAGCCTGCAACTCCAGGAGCCTCTAGTTCCAGGCTCATCTATCATGTGCTATGAACTAAAAAAACCGCATTCTAGATCAGTTATGACAGAAGGGCTTAGTATCCAGAAGGAAGTAAGCCATGTCCAGAACAAAGCCAACTTGTACATAATGATTTCTTTTCTGTTGTAAATTTATAAGCATTACCTTGTCACTTTATAAAAAAGTGTATTTAACTGAAAGTCATATTGCAATTCATATTTCCTCCCTCTCTTCCTCTTTCTTTTCTCCTTGTCTTTGCTCTTCCCCTTCCCCTTCTTCTTGCTTTATATACATAGTTTCAGTAATATTATTTCTTATAGGACGCAATTCATTTAAGCTAGTTTGATACAATACTTAATTTATATATAAATATATTTTATAAATCTAATATTGCTCATCAAAATATTATCTCTGTGCTTCCTTCAAAGTATTTTAACAATTGAGAATCAGTTACAGGGAATTTTGAATCTATTTAACTTTTGCTTTTTCTTTTAATCTTTTGGTTTTTATTGTATTAAGTATATTGCCTGATGAAATAGATTTTGATCTTTTCTTATAAGAAATGCTTCTTTTCAATGTAAGCACTAAATAACACATTGTGGATAGTTTCAAGATAAAAGAAAGTTTTGGAAGTTCCACCATAAATAAAATTGTTTACTACCTGAAATATTTTAGTTTCTGACTTTTTAAAGAACATCCCTAATTGAATTAACAATCACTGCCATAGAAGCTTGAAGACAAGGCTGAAGGTAATTCAGTAGCTGGCTTTGTATATACATTTAAGTATTTACTATCTAATGGACCTAAACTATAACCTGTTAGAGCCACAAATAATAATAATATCACATTTCTATATTAAGTGTAATTCAAGAAAGCGCCTAAGTGAAAATTTTCCTTTATTTTGGAACTGTTTCATATAGTGTAAAGTTGTGTATGGATAGGAAAGTAGAACCTGTTCGGAGCAAGAATATAGATTTAAGCAGAAAGTGTGCAATATCACATTATTTTAATAGCTGCAATATCTTAGGAATCATGAGAAGGTCTTACCTTTACTAAATGCCTCAAAATATTTTTATACATCAATGCTGATATTGTCAATAAAGTATTTTAAAGTAATTGGGCTGACTTTTTGTATTGCTAACATTTCAACATAAGAAAACTTAAACTGAAGTGTATTTGCAGTTTTTTTCTCATTTGTACAGCCTTTAAAACTTCATTAATCATTCCATCCTTATGAATTTGTGAAGTGGGCATATGTATTATATTATTTACTACCTTTAAAACTTTTGCTGAAAGATAAATGAGATGGAAATACAACCAGTAAGTAGAAAATCTTGAGACAATCATTGGAACAATTTTCCAAAATTTATCGTTGAGAGAGATAAAAAGAAAAATATCCCGACATATACAAAATAGCTGCTAACAGAGAATATAGAAGATTGTTTCACCCTTTTATTTATTTATTTTTACTTTAGTTTAAATTTACTAAGTGTTTCTAGTTACATACAAATTAAACAAACCTTATGGTCTTCTCTCAGGGGCTGGCAATACTGTTCTCTTTAGGAAGGTTTCTTATCATGATTGATTTTCTTCTGTTTATCCACTCATCAGGCTGAAAATAATCTAAATCATTCCATAAATGGGGAGAAGGACTGAATTTCAAAAAAAAAAGAGTCATGGTCACTATCATGCTATTAACATCATGGAATCCTGTGGAATGAAATTTTTAGCACACGGAGAAGTCCTTTTTAATCCATTCATACAGAGTACCTAGATCCGACTCATCTACTCTCTTCCTTTTCAAACCAATTTGACTTAACAAGCATCATTGTTTTACATATGTACATAAAATAAAGGAAGCATATTTTCCCTTCTTCATCCCCTCCATTTTCTCTTCTCCTCTTTCCACACCCCAAACTTTCTCATCAGTGTTTAGTGTATGCTAATTGTTCAAAGGGGTTTCACTTTGGTGTTTCATACATCCTTATAAAGTACTTTAATCAGATTGTTCCCCTCATCATTATTACTTCTATTATCCAGGTGAAAAAAATATTTTGCTTACCAAATCAGAAATTTTTTTTATAATTTTGCAAGTACATTTGATATTCTCCATGAATAATACTACAATGATTCACAACTACTTAGACTTTTTCATTGATCTGAATTTCATAACAAATGATGATCAATATGTGACGTGTCAAATTGTTGACAATCCCATTTCCAATGCACTACCATTGAAAGCTGAGCTTTGCTTAGTGAATGTTTTGCACAACTCATTGTTTATAGTCAACTGTTCTGAATAAGAAGTCTTTGGAAGTTAGTTCTCCAGTAGTTCAGAGGCAGAAAGGCCTTCTTCACTGGTAGGGGAATAGAGAAGAAAAAGTGCAAAGAAAATATTCAAATAAGAAAAGGATTTTGCCCTCTAAATTTTCTAGGATGAATAGTTGAGGCTGCCTTTGAGTTTGAATACAAACTAGTATAAAATATGTAACCAGCCTACAATCAAATTTCTTGAAGCAATTGAAGGCAACATTCTTTTCCTAATGGGAAGGAGGTTCCCAGGAAATTCAAGAGAATTTGTTTTCTCTCGATGCCTGGGAAATGCAAGCTTCCTGAGTCACATGAAAATTGGTAAATCTCCATCGGGAATTATGGAAATCAGTAAACAAGGTATTCTAGGTGTCCTAACTGACTCTACTTCCCTTTTATTTGAAAGATGCAAGCCAGACAAAATTAGTGGCTATATATTTCCCATCGTTCCCTCTTTAAAATTACATTCTAACACTTAATCTGAGAGTGGCATTTCCTGAAATTCTCCCTTTGGATTTATGAGTTACTAATGTGGTAATTTAATTCTCTGAGTTGTTGAGGTGGTATTTCTGGGAATGGTATTAGTGTACAGCTATTTGTAACTTCAGAAAAACCTGCTTGAATAGCCAAGCTCCCCTGAAAATACCACTTCTGATTGTACCCACGTTGTCCCATAAAGGTCAAAACAAATTTGTTTCCTTTAATCATTCTGATTGTAGGGATTTGAGGTAACTAGTGACTCCTCTATGGTAAGACTATAAATGGTGGCCACTAACACTATTATAGTCTTAATATTTTATGCAAATATCGTTTATAGAGGTAAAAAATGCATGACCATTATTATCCCTATGCCAATTAATTCACTTCAGTACAGATTAGGCAGTGAATAATAAAGGAGCAATTAGCAATTCCTGAATGCTTATCATTATGCAAAGTAGAAAACTTTGAGGCTTAAGGGGTTTAATAAATGCCCAGGAACACACAGCTAGTGAACAGAATTTCTTCACAGCACCTGTTCTAAAAGACTCTGGTAGAAGTTTAGAGGTATTTTATGACTTCATTGGAATTACCAGGCATCATCTCTGCCATATTGTTTTGATTCAGAAAGTTACTAAAGCTACTTTAGAACCAAAAGAAGCAAATTAAACACCACTCTTAGTTAATAGTGAATCTGTAACATATTTGATCTACCACAATGAATAGTGTATATTGTCTCCATTTCCTTATCTTTTGCTTATTCTACTGACTTCTGATTCTATCTAGTCTCCGATGATATTCCAATCAGTGGATGATTTAATTCCTGAGCAAATTTATACTTTATGCTAGAGGTCTTCCTTGATTTTTAGTACCATATATTCAGAAGTCTCCTTAAAAGGATCAATAGCTATGATCAATAGCACATGATCACATAAAATGTAAAATGTTGTTGATCAAAATGAACTCCAAGAAATGGAAACAAGAGTGCTTTTTTAAATTTTACTTTTTGTGGGATTTTTTTGGTTTGTTCGCTTTTCCCCTTTTGTCACTGTTATTTCTGTACTTTGTATTGTATGCAAGTTTATCTGTTTGGGGTAGGGGAAGGGGCAGAAATGGTGGGACAAAGGGTGAACAAATGCAGCAGTGATACTTACTAGGCACTTGTAGGGGAGGAGGTTGGGAGGGAAAAACTGGGAGAAAACAAGGAAAGAGGTGATGTTGTTCAAAAAGAAATGTACTCATTACCTGACCTATATAACTGTAATCCCTATGTATATCACCTTTACAATTAAAAAAAAAGTCACAATGAAGCTGGGTGCCGTTGTAAACGCCTAAAGTCCTAGCTGCTCAGGAAGCTGAGATCTGAGGATCATGATTCTAAGCCAGATGAGACAGAAAAGTTGGTGAGACTCTTCCTGCCAACTGATCACAGAAAAAGCCAGAAGTAGTCCTGTAGCTCCAGTGGTAGAGTGCTAGCCTTGAGCAAAAGAAGCTTAGGGACATGGCCCCTGTGTGGGATGGGGGTAGGAGGGACAGGGCGAAGGGGTGGGTCACCGTGAGATCTCCAAGTGAACATATCCCAAATTAAACATCATCTTGCATTGTCTCTTAGTGAATGACATAGTCAGTTATGGAAACATAAAATTAAGAACGTTTTCCTCTCTTATTTCTTTCCCCTTCTCTTTAATACACTTGTGTAATCCATTTCAAAATTCTACAAAGTTATTCTAATACTTTCCAAATCTCTACCACTTAATCCAAACAATGATTACCTTTCACCCAGAATCTCTCTGTTTTTCTCTTTCTGTCAAGTCCTGTTGTATAGGTGGGAATGAAGTCTCAGTTGACTTTGGGAATGAGGAAGTTGTAGAGCTCTAATCTAAGTACTTCCTCTTTGGTGGCCACCCTAACTGCTGAATAGATGGAACCCAGCTTTTTCAGTAAGTGAACAACTGGAACTATGGAGAGAATAAGACCCTTTCTACTGGGATGAAAACATAGGAAATTTTTGTCTCTCAGTTGATAACTGTCTTCTTATGGATGCACAACCCATTCCAGAAGATTATATTCTACCTAGAAATAAAATCCATACATTAGAAAGCAAAGCCATGTGTATATATACACAGTGGAATTCTATGCTTCCATCAGAAAGAATAGCATCACCCCATTCATAAGGTAATGGAAAGACTTGGAAAAAACCATATTAAGTGAAGTAAGCCAGACCCAAAGAAACATAAGCTCCATAGTTCCCTC